GGTTGCGTCTCGATAGCTATAAGGGTGCGGGAGATATGAGGCTGAAAGTGGTTGAAAGTGGCTTTCTATTTCGAATGTTTTGTTCGAATTTGTTCGAATTAAATTCGAACATAAAATTCGAATATTGGTTCGATTATAGAACGATTGTAAACGTTCCAGAAACGTTGAAAATAGTTCGTTTGACTAAACGTAAAAATTCTCTAATTAGTCTGGAAACGGGGGACCTAATTCTTGCATTCTGTGAAAACGGGTAAGATTAGCTATAATGTAATTATCTTAATCTTCACTATCGTTACTTTTTGCCCAGCGAAGCGGGTCCTTGCAGCTAGATTCTAGATTACTTAGAAAAACAGTCATTTATATACAAGTATATATAAAAAACTATATTACATACAAATAAAAACCCAGCGAAGCGGGTCCTTGCAGCTAGTGTTTACATAAAAGGAAAAGTATTGGAATCGTGTTAAATTTTGACCTTCCGAGTTTTGAGATCTCCTGAACCCAAAAGTCAAAACTGGGAGAAATTTTGTAAATAATTGTGTTCGCGCGTGAATGTGTTGGTATCTATTTCGTTTAATTGGCACTGTAGCTTTGTGTGTAAGGGGCATTAATGCTGTTAAACTTTCTTTTTTTGTGGTTTCAGGCCTTTTTCCGCTCAGAGAGCACTAAAAGGCCAGAACTCTGATAAAGGTCGAGGGATCGGGGAGATAGATGTGTGTCATGTGTCATATTTCGTGAGCGGTCCGACTTATGAAGACTTTACTTTATTATACTTGATTATTGTTGTTATTAGCATTTACAATTTATATATATAAAACTGTTTATATTACAGTTTATATTATAAAAGTGACCACTACCGTCAAAATTAAAGCTTTTTGCTATTTTACAATAATTAATAATATAAAAGCTTTTTAAAACAAAATCTCGTAACAGCCAGGAAAGTTATGCAACTCGTTGTTAGCTTTTTTTTCTATGCATTTTGTGAAAAATAAAAGAATAAAACCTTTTACATGTGTAATTTCTTTAACTTTTGCTTCATCTCTACATTGCGATATGATTGAAAAGGGAGGTTAGGAGGCGGAGTTTGTCAGCTTCCGCCCACCGCTGTTTCTAGCTTTATGTCTTACTACAAGAAGGATTGGGCATGTCCACTTCTTATACTATAACCTCACTTTAATGATGCACGTTACTGTGAAAATACTTTTTGAATATTGTAGCTGATTAAAATTTTCACAATTATGCCAATTTTCAAATAAATCGAAACATTAGAAATGTTTTGCCTGCAAGTTAGATAAATCCTTTTAAAATAATTTAAATAATAATTAGTTTTTCTTTTTCAAACTGAAACGTTTCAAATTTTTATTTAATTCATATCAAAATATTACAGAAATCTTTCTGTTATTAATTTTGTAAACATTGTATATTTCAAAAATAACAAAAATATACAAAATTTGTTTTAATATATACGAGTATTTATATTATAATTTAACAAAAAATTTAAATATGTAACATTTATAAAAATGTAAAAAGACTAGTTTCAATATATAACAATATAACAACTTGATTATATATAATGTATGTAAAATTTTTTTATGTATAGGGTTTTCGTAAGTCACATGCTATAGGAGATTATGCCGAAAAGCATAAGGAGATTGTAGGCAAAGCAAGTATACAGTATACAGTTTATATGATGCATCATTTCAGGTCTGCAATAATGTCAAACGAAAATTAAATGCACAAATTCATATGTGGTCGAATCACTTTCAACTAATGTAAGCCCAGTTGCATAGTTCTATAATTAACCGGTGTAAAGATTGAACTTGTTCTTTTCAATACTCTATAGCACACCACACCACACATTATCGGTTTTTTTAATGTTATTTTTAATTTTATTTAAATAAAGTTAAACATAATAAAAAAAAACTGGTAATGTTTCGTGTATTAAAGAAAATAAGTTTTACAACATACCAGTTAATTACAAAACTATGCAGCTGGACCTACGTTACTTGAAAGTGATTCAACCACAAATGAATTTTGTGCATTTAATTTCCGTTTGACAGAATCGCAGACCTGAAATGATGCATCTTATAACCTGTATACTTGCCTCTGATGCTTTGCTTACGATCTCCTGATTCGCTTCTGCATAATCTCCTATGGCATGTGACTTATGAAAAACTTTGTATCAAATTTAAACACGTTCAATAAATTGAAATCACTTTTAACATTCTGCAGATTAATTATTTAATCAATCTGCAGAAAATTTCTATTTGTTCCATTAGTTCTATCTGTTAAGCTTGATTATGTTCAACAACATTATATTTTCTCCTCCTCATCCCTAAAAGAATTAGTAATGATAGAAAAATAAATTTACATATAATTTTAATAATTTCTAATAATTATAAAATTATTTAATATATATTCATATAAGATTAAATTTATTATCTAAAATAAATTAATACTAAATAAACACTCACTTTACTTTTAATCCTAAGAAATAATGAAACAAAAATATTCTTAAAATTAAATATATATATTATAGAAAGTTTATATCTTTCAAATTATATATATTTAGAAAAATTGATATAATTATTTGTACATTTTTTACAGAACATATTATAATATGGTATGTTTCTCTTAGAACATTTTATCTTCATCACACAATTATCAAACTTAATCTTATTTTTGTATTTGTTGTTGTTGTCGAAACCGTGTTGTTATTTATGTTTGTATACTGGCACAATGAAGTGACCTGCTTTATCAACACTTGGCAAGTTTTCAATCTTTATTCAGTTTCGATCTTTAGTCAGTTTATTAATCTTATTTATTATAGAAAGAATAAAATAAAATATATGCATTTCTTAATGTATATTTAAGACCTCACTAATTTGGACTAGGTTTTCTTTCTCCAATTACTCCAAATTAGTGAGGTTATATTGTTTATATATTATTTTTTAAATATATACAGGATTTTTCACTTAAACATCTAGCCCAAGGTAAAAGAAATCTTCCAGTATTGCACAAGTGAATGCATGTAGTACTGTACATGCTTGTTCCAGCACTAAAATAATCAAAGGAAATCAATTTCAAATGATTTAGCATAAAACAGAAATAATCTCTGACTTTAGCCTTTCTTTAAAGTTAAAATTGCAGAAATTGATACAAAAGAGAACTTTATTTTGTTAGAGAATATGTTCAAAATAACTGCCCTCTGTGGCAATACAAAAATGTAGGTGATCAAGTGTGGTGTTATGAATGACACATATCTGGTGTCAACATTTCACAGGCTTGTTGTATGTATCTCTCCAATTCAACAACTTCACAGAATGTTCTGGGTATGCATCATATACAGATGCTTTTTTGTAACCAAACAGGAAAAATCCACAGGACTTATTTAGTGAAAGAGAACATGATAACCATGGCCATACTGTCTTCAAATTTATTTTTACATAATTGCCATCCAACAAAATTCTACAAAAGAATATTGAATAAATTTAATATATTTTTCCTTCCACTCTATAGACACTAATAGGACCTTTTTAATCATACCAATCATAGATTCATCCAGGAATGACCTGATTGTGAGAGAGGGTCATTCTGTTGACATTTCCTAGACAGATTACCCATAAAAAAATCCTAGGGTTACTTGTTCAGATTCATTCCCAGGTTCCTCAGGGTGGTAGAATGATGCCTTAACTATCTTGGCCAACTTTTCAGTTCCATTGGATAAGTAATCAAGAGTTGATTTCTTTATGTTCAAGAAGTTAAATGATTAATATTAAAAATACATTCTATCAAGTACAAATAATACTTGACTAACACATTTTCAGGAAAAATGTTTTTGTTTTAACATAGGTTTTGTTTTACTATGAATAAAATGATCAGATCTTGAAGTGTAAAAAGCAGAATGTTAAGCCAGGTACTTCAATACAAGATCAAGTGAGACATGTGATTGATTTTTGCCAACAATTGCCAGTTTTCTAACTTTATGACATCATCAATGACAGATTTTATACTGATACTCATAGATATACTTTTGTTTACAAAATAACAACCTACAGCAATAGTGACAATAAATAGTTAATTACGGTTCCATATGTAATTTTGTTTGCTTTGTTGACAGCAAAAAAAAAAATTTGAAAGCTTACATTGGAATCTTTAGAGGGAAAGTAAAAACAATTTATATGTAAAAGTGCAAAGAATTGATTAAATGTACTATTTTCAACTTACCAGCAATTAAGTAGTTGCCAAATATCAGAAATCAAGAAATTGTCACAAAATTTTGTTTCTTATAAAAATTAAAATAATTAGAAATGTGCCTATTTTTAATTTAGCTAATTATCAAAAACTATTAGCTCTCTCCATAACTAATCTGCATGACTGCTCAGGGTATACATTCACTATTCTCTAACAGATAGTGGTATCAAAAACTGTTCATAATTAAAGTGATCAGATATCCCAAATTAGGCCAAACAGTCCTGCTTTTTAACTAGTCAGCCTTTATTAGGCTTTTTCTGGAAATTTCTCTTAATTTCTTTCTTTACATTCAATAAGTGTACCTACCAAATTAACCAAGGACTACCTATATGATATGAAAAAGCCAAGAAAGAATTTCTTAGTGTATAAATTATTATTATTAAAATCTGCTGTTACAATTATTCAATCAATGTTTTTGCAATATAATAACATTGTATTCTGAAGTAAATAAGTAAATGTAGTAATCATCAATAATCATCATAAGTTAAAAACAAGCTTGGAAGAGCCCATCTCCATGCTCCTTGATGCCCACTTCCCTCTTAGCTCCTATTCAAGTATCACTCTCTAGGAGCAGTATCATCAGCTTTCAGAACCACTATACTATGTAGTAAAACTTGTTACTGGGACAAAATTTAGAAAGTAGATAGATTTAGTGATATCTCATTTGGCTTTGTAATAGGTAAACATAATTTAAAAACCTGACTAAAATATCTAGAAATACACCGTCCAATGAGAATTTGACTGCAGGAGATAATTGGTGTTTTCAACAAGATAACATTAAATATCATGTTTACAACTCATCAAAACAATGATTTCTTCATAAAAGTATCACTTTAATAAAGGTCAACTTTAAATTTTGATCTGAACCCTATTGGAAACCTTTGGGGAGTACTGTTTCAAAGGCATACAAAAATAACAACCATTTGCATCTGTTGAAGCATCGAGAAATGCACTTAATGAATTAACTGTATATATCTCAAACTACAGTAAAAAAAAAGACTGATAGATTCTATGCCAAATAGTTCTAAAAAAATAGATCTACAAATTATTAAAACAAAAATTTATATCTAACAAACATGAAGACAACCATAAAAGTTCCAGAAAGCATTTAACTAAAATTGACAAAAGTTGGCATGCTTCAGATCTTAAAGATATTCAATAGGCCTGCTTTGAGTCATAATCTGTTGAATTTGACTACCTACTACATAAATCTGCCTAAGCATTCTAATATTCTAATGTTGAATTCAGCAGATTTATCACCTAAAGCAGGCCTGGCCTAAATTAATGAGGTCAAAAACATTCGTTAATTTTCATTAAGCATTTTATGGAATTTATTACAGTTGTCTTTGTGTCTGATAAAATAATGTCATTTGTAATTAATGTTTATTGGTGTTATAATTATATTTTGATTACAGTAGTTTCATCTTGTTCAAACACTGTCTTTAAGTCCAATGTACAGTACCTTCTTGGTTTTGAATGACTAATCATATTGAAATGAGATGCGTATGCTTTACAAATTATTTACAGAAAATAAAAAACAAAAGTTAAAGCTTACTATTCTTTCATCACAGATTTCTTACTAATTTCATAATTATGTTACATACTGTATAATTAATATATAATATTAGTCACTGTGATAATTATGCCTAAGCTTTAATCTAAGAATATGAATAAACTAATAATATAAATATTTTAATGATATATCCAGAATCATTATGGAATCTGTGACAATACTTATTAGAATATATATCAATCCATTTTTCTTTTATATACAACAGTAAATGTTTTTATTTAATAAAAATTCATGTTTCTTGAACTTACAAACATTTAGTTGTTAAAAATTAATATTTTAATAAAATATCAACTCTTAATAATAATAACAACAACAACAACAACAACAACAAAACAAGAATAATAATAGTAATAATAAAAACATTATTTTCTACCAATTTATACAATAAAAATTTTTTCAATAATAATAGTAAACTATTAGTTAAATTACAATCAATATAATTTTTACAAAATTAGAATGAAAAGATTATGAATATATGAATGAACAGTTAATAAATTTATAATCTAAATATATAAAATTGCTTGTCCTGACTGACTGACTCACTCACTGACTGAATGATGATTCATCATTGCCCAGAGCAAACCGCTTAACCTAGAGAGGTGAAATTTGGTAGACAGTTAGGATACGTCATGGAAACGCACACTAAGAAGGGATTTTTCGAAATTTCCCCGCGGGGGAGAGGGAGAGGATTAAGGCTTAACCAGAAAAACGGCTTCTACTGTACTATTTTAGATGCGATTTTTTGTTTTCAACTACGTTTAGTCTTCATTGAGTACTATTAAATTAAATGTGTATTAATATAACATTAATTTAAATGTGTATAATTTAACATTAATTTAATACACATTTAATTGATGAGTACTATTAAATTAAATGTGTATTAAATTGATTTTAAATTAAATTAAATGGTGTATTAAATTGATAACATTTCAGACATTTCAATTTTAAAAATGTTCGATCCGTTTTAAATTCATAAATACGTA